AGGTAAGGAAGGTGATGGCAGTGATGTTTATGCTGGGAGTGTCCAAGAGACGCACCAACTGTGACGGGCGTGACTCTTCCTGTCCAGCAACTGACTACATTAGTACAACTGCATCAGTCACTAGTCACTAGTCTGTAGTCAGTAGTCAGTAGGATAGGTGAGGTAACCAGGTAAGGAAGGTGATGGCAGTGATGTTGATGCTGGGAGTGTCCAAGAGATGCACTAACTGTGACGGGCGTGACTCTTCCTGTCCAGCAACTGACTACATTAGTACAACTGCATCAGTCACTAGTCACTAGTCTGTAGTCAGTAGTCAGTAGGATAGGTGAGGTAACCAGGTAAGGAAGGTGATGGCAGTGCCAGTGATTTTGATGCTGGGATTGTCCAAGAGACGCACTAACTGTGACGGGCGTGACTCTTCCTGTCCAGCAACTGACTACATTAGTACAACTGCATCAGTAACTAGTCACTAGTCAGTGGTCAGTAGTAGTTAGTATCCAGTAGTCAGTAGGCTAGCTGAGGTAACCAGGTAAGGAAGGTGATGGCAGTGATGTTGATGCTGGGAGTGTCCAAGAGACGCACTAACTGTGACGGGCGTGACTCTTCCTGTCCAGCAACTGACTACATTAGTACAACTGCATCAGTCACTAGTCACTAGTCTGTAGTCAGTAGTCAGTAGGATAGGTGAGGTAACCAGGTAAGGAAGGTGATGGCAGTGATGTTTATGCTGGGAGTGTCCAAGAGACGCACTAACTGTGACGGGCGTGACTCTTGCTGTCCAGCAACTGACTACATTAGTACAACTGCATCAGTCACTAGTCACTAGTCTGTAGTCAGTAGTCAGTAGGATAGGTGAGGTAACCAGGTAAGGAAGGTGATGGCAGTGATGTTTATGCTGGGAGTGTCCAAGAGACGCACTAACTGTGACGGGCGTGACTCTTCCTGTCCAGCAACTGACTACATTAGTACAACTGCATCAGTCACTAGTCACTAGTCTGTAGTCAGTAGTCAGTAGGATAGGTGAGGTAACCAGGTAAGGAAGGTGATGGCAGTGATGTTTATGCTGGGAGTGTCCAAGAGACGCACCAACTGTGACGGGCGTGACTCTTCCTGTCCAGCAACTGACTACATTAGTACAACTGCATCAGTCACTAGTCAGTAGTCTGTAGTCAGTAGTCAGTAGGATAGGTGAGGTAACCAGGTAAGGAAGGTGATGGCAGTGATGTTTATGCTGGGAGTGTCCAAGAGACGCACCAACTGTGACGGGCGTGACTCTTCCTGTCCAGCAACTGACTACATTAGTACAACTGCATCAGTCACTAGTCACTAGTCTGTAGTCAGTAGTCAGTAGGATAGGTGAGGTAACCAGGTAAGGAAGGTGATGGCAGTGATGTTTATGCTGGGAGTGTCCAAGAGACGCACTAACTGTGACGGGCGTGACTCTTCCTGTCCAGCAACTGACTACATTAGTACAACTGCATCAGTCACTAGTCACTAGTCTGTAGTCAGTAGGATAGGTGAGGTAACCAGGTAAGGAAGGTGATGGCAGTGATGTTGATGCTGGGAGTGTCCAAGAGACGCACTAACTGTGACGGGCGTGACTCTTCCTGTCCAGCGACTGACTACATTAGTACAACTGCATCAGTCAATAGTCACTAGTCTGTAGTCAGTAGTCAGTAGGCTAGGTGAGGTAACCAGGTAAGGAAGGTGATGGCAGTGATGTCGATGCTGGGAGTGTCCAAGAGACGCACTAACTGTGACGGGCGTGACTCTTCCTGTCCAGCAACTGACTACATTAGTACAACTGCATCAGTCACTAGTCAGTAGTAGTCAGTAGTCAGTGGTAGTACTCTAAAGGTAGCCACCATTCTACATCTACTAGACAGAACGGTACAGAGTAAAGATTGGTCATCACTAAATACATACCGGTTGCCAGACAATATTCAGGAACAGCTAAAACGTAGAGAAATCCTGAAATTATTTAACACGAGGCGACATTAAGTATGCAGTTGTAGTCAGTAAGTAGAAAGAGCTCTTAAACGTTGGCAGGTGGGGGTCATAGTTGTTAAATTACTACATATTAACATTGCATTTATATGACTACTTTTAATCTACATACCGTATTTATTTTCAGTAAACGTAGCACTTTTTTAGTGTACTTAAGGTTCCTCATTACCGAAACCTGTGCTTAACATTCAAATTGGTATAGTTCCTTCCTACAAGTTGCCTACAAACCCAACATTACTTACCGTTTAACATTGAATAAGTTTAATAGAATTATATTACCGTCAATCTCGTCAATGTGAAAATAGCTGCTACCATGCAACTATTATGCAAGTAGAAGACAAGTTCAAGAACGCAGAGAGCTGTTATAGCGTTTTGACACATGTTTTTGTAAGTTAAGAGTTGGGAAATGTCAGCAAAGTCTTCCACCAGTTGATAGCAGCGATATGCCAGTGTGGAGAGTGACAGATGGTAGATTGATAGAAGCATTATTGCTCACTTGTTGGAAGCTCAATAACTGTACAACTCTACAACCCCTTTGCGTGTCTGGGGGAGGCAATTATGAAACTATTGTCAAGATATATTGGACAATTTGCATTTGGAAATCTAAGATTAAATTACTTGAATTGTACTTAATCCGTTCAATTTGTTGGGTTATGTTTGGCTCTGTAAGTTAAGTGAAAAGGGATTTTGTGATTTTTGTGACACCTACGTTCTAGAATATAATAGTTTAAAATCACTCCATAAAAATATAATGACCAATTTTGAAAAGAAAACCAATAAAATTCACAGCGATCAGAATATTCCTTATTTATCATCTAATAAGTTACTTAAGCTGTTTAATAAACGAAGAATTTTTATTGAAAGTTACATGAGGTATTTGAGCTATTGTTAACGGAGAAATAAGGTACCTTATTAAAAAACTACGTTTGAATAGTAAAAAAAACAACAAATGTTATTGCACTAACTTGCTTGTACCGTATGTAAAGTGGTAAAAAGGTCTAAAACCTTGTGGTAGATTAAAATTTTACACTGTTTGAAAAAAGTTAAATTGTTTTCTAAACTCATACACTTTATTGATTTGAGATAAAATTCCCACGAAAAACTTCAAAGAAACATCACGGTTGGTTTTGTGGTGTATTTTATAAACCCTACTTGAAAATATAATGACAATATAAAACGCTATGAAGGAAAACAATGCTTTACGAGTGTTATAAACGTCAAAACAGGTGTTGAGAAAATGCTGATGTGGATGGCGGTGGAGGGAAGACATATTGCTTCCAAACGACGACGTAAATCCCATATATATTCTGCACCTGCATCGCCTTATGTGTCTCAAGTGGAATTGTAAATCTGGTAATCGTTAGGTGGTCTACAACGAGAGTTTTATGCTTTCATGGACATTGGGTATTTACAAATGGTATGATTAAAATGTGTTTGAAAGGAAAAGTCTTTGGCTAGGTTGTAGTAATGGGAGACTATAGGTAATGGAAGTCTTGTAAGAACAATCATAAAATGAACCAAAAAAATTTAAACGACATCAATAAAACAAAGGCTTTTCTTAAAACAACATTGTTTATAAACTTCTATAACTCAAAAACGGTAAGAGGTAGCAAAGAATTGATAAAATATTCATGGTCAGGAATTAATCTTCTACGAAGCCCATTAAAGCTTTTTCCGAAAATCACACCCCTTTACCCCCAAAAAAGGCCTACTCTTCTAAAATTGTTTAAAATTACTGGAATTTAGACGTGTTTTAAGTTTTTAAAATTAATTTTTCGACATATATTTGTACTGTCGTATAATGCTCCTAACTTCGAAGGAAAAATCCCCAATAAAGACATATTAAAACTTTTACACCCCTCAGCAATATTTTAAATGGCTGATTAAAAACCAAAAACATCAAAACCTTTCTTTCTGGGTACGACATGTTCGAAGGACTTTCAAAGTTGCTAGTCTTCGTTTTAAAACCAAGGAATTACTTAGAAAAGTGTATAAAATTTACACCCCCCACCAAATAAAACCTCCCCCTCCTTAATATTTCTGTATCAAAACACTTCAGTTGCATTAGACTACAGTGCTTAGTATTTACCTACCTTCTTATTATTGTATCATTTTACTCACAAAATAATTAACCAGTAACAGATTTTCTCCAAAAAGAGTTTCAACATTTTCCAACTAATAAAGGAGGCCTGGGGCGGAGCCCCCAGCGAGATGCTGCCTTTAATGCTGCCTCCCAATAGTTAGAGAAACCCCTAAAGATGAAATCCACTTACCAAAGAACCAAAATCACAACGTGATGAAAGTTTCACCACAAAGGAGGAATACAAGGTAGCAACGAACGATTTTCGAGAGTAACAGAAAAAGAAAACTCACTTTTTCGGAAAATTTGAAGGTAGAGAGCGGAACGCGGCTAATGGTCTCAGCGTTGTTCACCGATTATACGCTCGTTTATCAGAAGACTAGTGACGGTGTCGTCGAAATAAATTGTCCTCGTCTCTATTGAATGTAACGACAGCTCAAGTCGGTATTGACTGCTCTGCCTTTATCATTGCGAGTTCTTTGTGACATTTATTGGAATCCGTTATATTTATGGGTTTTACCTGGGGAAAGTATGTGAGGTGTCGAAGTTGTAAGCGTCCTATCAGTTAAGACGAAGGTTCAAGCATGAGTTTAGGATTGCTGGGTCTTTATAATATTCACCGTAGCTCACTGTGATTGTTACCAAACACAATAATATTGTTCCATATTGTGTTTTCACATGTTCTAACCTACCTTGAAGGGAGCAAGTTGGTCTAGTGGTTAGAGTGCGGGACTTCGGTCCAAGAGGTCCCAGGTACAAATCCTGCAAAATCACCAACGGATTTTATCTAAGTGATATTGCCGTAACCCTAGGTCTAGCCTGAAGTAATGTGAAAAACGATTCCGGGCTCATGCCTATCCGTCCTAGGACAAAAACCTTGAACCCTTGGTAACAAATTATTTTCTATTTTCAGATATCAAAGGGATAAGAAGAAGTCAAGTTGTGTGACAGAAAATGGTGGATCATGATTTCCAGAAATATTTAGTAAGTACAATACATGAAATGAAACATCTTAGCTTATCAGTATAACCTTGATAACAGGATCTTCATGGGAATATTAAATAAGACTTGTTATCAAGGTTGACTTCTTATCGAAGTTTGCAATAGCATGTGATTGGGGTAAAATACATTTTAGGCGATTTAAACATTACACTTGTCCTTATGGGTGACTTGTTATCGAGGGTCATGCAATTGAGGTTCCACTGTACTTAAAGTGCTTATTCTCAAAGCTGATTCTATTCAAAGTCAGAGGTATCAGTAGATGATTTATGACAGTTATGACTCAATAAAAAAGAAAAAAAAACTAGATGAATGATTCAAGAAACATGAAGTCAAACATTGAAATTGGGTTAACTTGCGATCTACTTTAATATTTTAAAATCCTATAACGCAATATTACTCGACCAATATTAACATAAGGCCGTATTTGAAAAAATGCAATGCTTGAACAGTATTGGTCATATTAATCGCAGGTCTATGGCCTAGCCGAGTATCCAGTAATCGTAACACATGTACGGGAAGTGCGGAAGTAGGCCCCGGGAACTAGCAATTTCACGGTCAGGGGTCATCACTGTGACACACGCACACGCACACACACACACACTATAGTGTGTTGTAAAGCCCGATACTAGTAGTTTTATATATGAGCAACATAGCTTTATCTGTATGGCTCTAGCGCCAACTGCTATGTTATACGATGGGTTTTATTCTAAGTAGCCTCACATATGGATTTTGTGCTCCTTTATGTATCTACTTAGTTTCAGGATAATACATAAAAATCTTAGGCTCGTGGTAAACAAAGAGATAGATTTATTTGCCGTCAAATTTAAAAAGTATATCCAGAAAAAGTCCATCATGTTCGAATTTATCTTAATTCTACATTAAAAATGAGTTGCGTACAACAGTTTGTTTACTTTTAATAAGGCCAGCCTCACTAGTATCTACGAACCATCTACAATAGGTATAATCGGTGTTTAGAAAGTATGTGTTAATAATATTTTCTACTGATCCTTAGATGAAGACAATATTTAAACTTCCTTTCCAACAAATATTTGAATTCAAAGTATACTACGTAATTATTTGAGAAAATCCACACTGCCATAATGGTTGGTAAAAAATATAAAACATAATACTAGTCCAACTATTGAAACTACTATTTACGTTGTCGATTGAGAAAGTCACTATAAGAAAACAAACTAGCTAAATAAATCCCGTTTTAATCATATTTTTCGTCCATAGACCAATATAGTCTGTAAAACACGAGTTGTAGAATGCATCTTGCACATTAAGGAAGGTGTTTAGAAAGTAGGTCACAACGCTAGAGCCGTATACGCTAATAATGTGCAATACCACTCATACTCATATGCCTCCCTGTGGAATGAAAACCTGCCTTCAATAACTGCGGAGTTCGCCATCAAAACGAGATAGCTTGCATTACTTACATTGCTCCTGCATATGATGTAGGCCTATACATCTCTTTGTGTTTAAATCTATTAGACATTATACTTTGTTCACAACGTTGCTTTTGGGAAAGAAATCTATCACCTCCACTTGAACTTCCCCTTTAAAATAATAGCTCAACAGCTGATTGCAAATATATTAAATACAAAAGGTGGTGGGTGAACTTCCTCTCAAACCACTTAAATATTGTGAATGAAGTATAATAAACACCTTCAATACAACATACTTGAATGCCAAGTAATTCAGTCAGTTTTTTTGTGGTTTCATTAAATCAGGTCTATGTTAAAAGAAATGTTCTCTAAATTCACCTTTACAAAGTAGACTTGAAGGTTTTCTACAAGAGAAACGTATCAAATTTCTATCCTTAAATTTCGGAACTTAAAAATAAAAACGTTTGAGGATCTCTTATATTAGCAAAATAAGTATGAATAAGTTCTCCAGAACTTGCTGGGTGTGGTACCGAGATCAGTACCTTAATACCTTAGTAACCATTAGCATTACTGTTTTAGTAAAACATTATAAGAAATAATAATAATCTAGTAAGAAATACTTGGTCATTAGTAATTTTAAGTGTATTTAATTTGTAAAAAAAATTGCATTATTTAAATAATACCTTAGTAACCAATATGCTAATAAGTAAAAAAAATGATGAGAACCAGTAATGATTTGGATAAAATTGGAATAAACTAATTGGCAAAAAATGCTCTAATTTTATTTTTGGGAATAACAAGTTTTTTTTATAACATCCCGTTACCTCACAAAAAAACGTCTCAATAAGTGTATGGCATACTCCGATTTTAATGTGTTGTTTAATGTTTGTTTAAATGGCAGCCCTTTGCAGTTTATGTATTTAATACTGTCACGTTTTGGGAGGGACTATAAAATTACAAGATTGAAAAACAACCAAATGTTCAATTGATAATGAATGGTAACTAATATAACTTCATTGACCTATAAAGTCTGACATCATGAAAATATGACAGTATGAGTTTATCTATGGTCAATTCCTTACATGCCTGCATCCTAAGAAGGAATATATGAGAAGAATTAGAAAAAAAACACACCTTCAACTTTACCGACTGAATTAAAGCCAATCGTTTTATCCCAATTCTTTCGATGGTTTTATACTTTTGCATTATGATTATGATGTCAAAAATCCTATTTCAACATTTGCCACAACATTTTGTACTATTAAGCTTTATATCTATAAGATTAAAGTGTCATGGATAACCCATGCAACTGGGACGTTGAAGTTATAATTGAAGCTTTAGTTCACTTTGTATTCTGAACAGGGTGTCTTCGTCTCGGAAAATGCTGTTTGCAAATACAGTAAGTTGAACTTAAGTAGTTGAATTCTAATGTATTCGTCTTTTTTGTAACTGACTATTGCTTATCTAATATATGTAAATATCTGGAAAAACTTTATTCGTCCATTTTTGGTGTGAAATTATTATACCAGTTATACAACCTCGACAACATATAAAAAAATCCGTTGAGGAAGAAGAAAACTATTTTCAAAAGAAACAGGTTTACATGATCCATTTGCAATAAATTACTTGAGTTGTTTGCTGACTCTTGATATTTTAGTGATGTTAGAGTGCAGTGCTGTTCTGAAGGATCATGTTCAAATGTCGCCGATCACAATGACTTTTATCTACTTATAACAACAGCTATAATAATTAAAATTGACGGGTAAGATATTTTGAGACGATGAGAGAATATCTATATATAAGAACTTCCTTTACTAAATCATAATTTTGACGATAAGTTTTTTGCAGCAACGTGTGTTTTGTACAAAATATTGTTATATAGCAACAGGTTGTTATCTTGTTCATAACATTTAGACAAGGAAAAATCTTTTTTACCTTGTGTGTCGTGATAACAGTTTCGAGTGGCAAGAAATCTAGTGACGAATTGTAACACCACAAGAAAGGTTTTACCTTGTACCTTAACCTTTATTTATCCAATTTAAGGTAATTTTACTAACACTAAGGGTGGGAGCCAAATTGTAGACTTACGTTTGGTCAGTTTAGGCTTAACATTCATTAAAATTCTCTGCTTTTGCATGCGAAAGCAATAAAAAATTTACTGTTCTCGAATGCAATTTACTTAATTGTGCTTCCTAATAACTCTATCTAATTTTGATTATTAAGTAAAAATGACACGGGCTTTGAAGTATGCTAAAAACTTAAACCTTTTCACCAAATTTAAACCTAAATACTGTTAACAACTAACTGTAAAATATGCCAAAAAGTTCTATGTTGGATCATTTTTTTTCTTCTACTTCATCTCACTTCAATCATCTGAAAGTTCCCAAGAACTGTTTAAGACTGTTACATTATCTACCTACCAACTTACACTAACAGTATAATGCTGTTGGTTTGGAGGGGGGGCGAGCTGGTCTAGTGGTTAGAGTGCGGGACTCCGGTTCCTGGGGGCCCGGGTTCAAATCCCGCCAAATCACCAAATGGATTTTATCCATGTGATAATGCCGTAACCCCTAGGTCTAGCCTGAAGTAATGTGAAAAACAATTCCGGGCTCGTTCCTAGCGTCCTAGGGAAAAATGCTGAAAGTATTACTTTAGGCCAAGTAAATTATATAGGATTAAGTAAGTAGGATTAAGTAAATTATATATAACACCTATCCACTCATTAAGTTCAACCAGTTCAACTACCTACGGTGAGCCAACTGCACTGTGACTCAATTTATCACAATAAAAGCATAAATAATAACTATAACTATTTAGCAAAAATATAGATACTGACACTAAAGGTAAATATTTCCCAAATTCCAGGCTATAACACAACAAAAGAAGTATTTGTGTTGTTCAGACACAAAAGTAACTGTTGAAACTGGGAATTCGGTGCTGATGAAACGTGAAAAGCACGCCATCCCCCCAGGAGCAAACCGCAAATCTTTCCTTTACGTCAAAACACACGTTTTGCCGCACAATCCACTTCAGATAATACATTAACTGTAACTGCTGTTTTTGAGCCTAGGGGTGTCCAAAATTATTTTAATGTACAATTAACCTTAAAAAAATCCCACATTACTTGAAATGTCCAAGGGAAGTAAAGTACTTATCAAAAACAAAATTGTGCGTACAACATAAATAATTAAGATAAACAAAATCATTCCTGAAAATTACTGCAACACAAAGGACACCGAACGCATATTTCAAAGGCTGTGATTAAAAGCTCCTTTAACTTACTAAATGTCTGTAGCCGGTTAATGCAATGAAAAATTTATAACCTTTTACTCAAAGGGACGTCATCGAAAATCTGTTTGACTTTTGACGGCTTTTGACTAAATTACTTTTTCCGACTCAAAGTTTAGAATATAGTCGTTTTTGTAGTAAAAAATATAGTATTTTTATTATTTATATTCATCCATCAAACTCTTGCTTTATTCTAAACATATTTTAATAAAATAAATGTACAACAAAAGTATGTATTCATATGTTTAAAATATATTTAGCGAGTTAAAAAAAATATATAAATAAAACATTATGAAAGTCAGCATG